TATATATATATATAGAGTTATAAGTATTAAATTTATGTCAACTTTAAATGAGTATGGAAGATCACGTGACTCAGTCAAATAAACTGACCCCCATTTCGGAAGAGTTAAAAACATCACATGAAAAAATATCTTTCTGTGCTTCTGTATAGAAAATAAAATTTTGGGTTAGCAAACCGTGGCTATCAAAGTGTATAATGTGTTAACTACATACTATCACTCCTATGATTGATTAAAAGAAAAAGCTTCTGACACAGAATACTGAATAAATTAAAATCTTGCACTTTATTGTACAAGGTATAAACTTGATATCTTCCTCCATAAATCAGTTTAATGGCATTGTTTATTATTGAGTGGCTATAGGTTCACAATTAGTTTATAGTCAAGCCAATTTCACATCTGTGTTATCATGAGAAAAAATTGCTTGAACAGTGGCCTGAATAAATCAAAGTATTGCTGTACCACAGACTCTTGATGGCATTTTTGTTACTTTCAAATGTAAATCCTGTGTTCAGATATTTTTGGAATGTCTAATCAGTCAGCATTAAAATATTAAATTCATAGTTCAAGAACGAAATGACTACTTTTTTGCATATTTTGGATTTGAAAAAGAAATTTTGGGTGACTCCTCCTCAATTTTTTACCATCATAAACTTACTATTATTATATAATAATAGTTATATACATTTTAATTAAAAAAAAATTAATTAGTATTTTTGAACAATAAGCATTTGACATGATGAAATAAGTTTTAAGTTAGAACTTGAAAAAGTGAAATATTTTCTTCATAGAATTGTTTTCCTTGTTTCACTTACTAATAAAGCCATAAGAAATTACACATTAAATAAAAGTTGGATGTATTAAAATACCCTTGTTTTTTTACTGTTTCTGTAAGTTAACAGTTCAAAGCTGAAAAAGAAAATTACGAGTTTGTAACAGCAAGTTTTTCTCAAAATATCTTTCTGCCTAGCTTTTGAATCATATGTTTGTTGTTTATCAATTAAATTTCCAAACTGGTGGGTGGGGCTACATTATATCTACAACTAATTTTTTTCCATTTATACACAATAATATTTGAATCCAGAATAAAAATCAGTCTTACATCTTTCAACAGATGTTTGATAATGAACCTACTGACAATGACTAAAATATAGTGTTCAACCTTTAATGAAAACAGTTCAGGTGTAAAAAACCCAACTATTCTTGATTCATTATTTGAAGGCACCTATCCACATGGGCATACTTAGTCAACATTAGTTCTTTGTTTTTAACTGATATACAAACATTCTATTATTTTTTCCTTGTCAACAAACTACAAACTGTATATTTATGAAGCAGCATTATAGTATCTGTCTTTATGGTGTCAGTCTTAAAATGCTCTTTTATCTACCCAGATCCTAGTACTCTGGCTAACTGCAGCTGTTAGTGGTAACCAAGAGATAAGTCATAACTGTTATGCAACACTATTACTTGACATTTGAACAATAAAGGAACAATCTTATATTGTATATATATCTTGTCATACCCAAACAATTCTTTTAATATAGTTTTAGCAGACTTCTGTAAAAAAAAAATCCAATATAACCTTAAAAACTAATTACTGTTTACCTGAGTGCTCCAACAGTAGCAGAAGGATTGAAAACTATCTCAGCTCCATTTATACCATACATCATCCAGTTCTGAGGATGGTGACGACCGTAACAGATGTTAACAGCTATCTTACCTATTTAAACAAATAAAATTAATGTTATCACAGTACATCCACTGTATAGATGTTAGTCACTTCTCTAAAGTGAAAAAAAAATACTGTCCGGACACAGAAATGTGTCACCTAATAAGCTTACATTTTTCTTTAAAATTGAATTTTTTTTAATTGCTCAGTTAACTACAGAAGTAAGTAAATTTAAAAATCATATCCTGATGTTTATGGAAGACATTATATACTTTTAAATTCTTTAGATTAAAGGCAACATACTGATTAAAAACAAGATAATTGGAATTAACATGCAAGTCATTACTCATTTACATGCATTAATTATAAATAGTAAAATAAAAATAACATTGTCTGGTCATTCACATTTCAAATTAAAGATATTAATGAATATCTGAAGAGACTTACTGCTTGTGTGAATTGTAATATATTGAAGTGTCATTAGTTCAAAATTATTTGAGGTATTAATGAAACCAAATAATGTTCAAAAAAGCACATAATATGAAAATTTTCCCATTGAATATAACACAAAACAAAAGGTTAATGAAATTCAGGAAACAGCTTTAATGAAGTTAACTCTTTTTGAAGAAAAAAACATTAAAAGTTCAAAATCTGATTAACAGTTATGATTTTCTAAATTTTCATGCAAGTGGACAAAGCCGTGACCAGTTGAAATTTGCACAAAAACGTTTTTTTTACAAGTTTATCGATCATTTGTCTTTTGTTATTGTGTTATCTTATTTCCAAACACATACAAAAACACTAATCTACAAACTTTTTTGATGTGTTCAATATTCGTGAAAAATCACAACTATTTACAAACTAAAGATACACCACAGATATTAGAACTGTTATACTGTTATCTGTTATTGTTTCTAAACTCATAGTAATGTGGAATAAGAGAGCTTTATAAATGAATTTATTTAATATAACAATCGATATGCAGTGTTTTACAAGTGAATTTATCACTATTGCTAGAATAGATCATCCTTAATTATAAGAAAAACATTATTTGTTGAAAAATAAATCTCCCCCCAATATTATACTAAATTTTTCTTTCGGTATAAAAACAGAATACTCACCCCATTGTGTGTTGAAGACTGGGTGGCCGAGTGTGCTCTCCATATAGTAGGTTGACTGAAAGATCGTAGAAGTAAACAAGACACGTGTAAGATACATCCTTCTCTTCTTATAACATTTTCTTTTGAATTATTTTAGAAATTTAAATCCAGTAGTTTGCCTGTTTTAGAATTATTACACAAATATACAAAAAAAAAGGCTGACAGACTAGAGGGAAGGCAGCTGTTTCACAAAATAATGAGATTTAAGTTACTGTTATAGTGCATCCACAGTCCCAAAGTGCAGAGCACGTTTTTTTTTCGGGAATGGAACACAAGTCATGAATCCCTTGAATCACAGTTCAGTTCAGGAATTTTGGTGTTTATTATAGTAATTCAGTTGCATCTGCATAACTACGTATTCATGCATGAGTAATATTTAATGTTTCAAGTTACCTTAAGTAACAAATAAAGTATTTCTGATACAAAAAGATACTAAAACTATAGAATCTGAAATTAGTTTTTCTTTTGAAAGCATTCAATTTTTGTCTTTTACATTAATTATCCAACTTTTTTGCTTAAACCTATAATGACCATGGGGTATTAAAAGCATCAATCTCTTACATTTCTATAGTGAAATGCCTACCTAACCAGTTTTTCTGTGTATGGGTGTGTCTATATATATATAACAGAATTTAATGTATTTGTTGTGAAACATCATTTTGCAAAAACAATAAACACACTTTCTTTGTTTTATTATTGATCATAAAGTTACATTTCATATATCCATCAATATATTTCTTTAGAGACAACTTATTTTGCTGATTTAAGCAATGAACTTCCCACTGCAAATCACACAATGACTTCATCTTTCAAAATGGTAGAATGATATTTTGAAACAAAATAATTTTGGTTGAGATTAATTTATATCTGATAATTATAGTTTTTCAATAGATAAGATCCTCTATTTGTATATGTTATTTGAACACAATATACTTAACAGTATATTCAATAAAAAAAATATTATATAATTTGAATATTTTGCTTACTCAGGCCTTCCTTACTGTACACAATAACCCTAAGTATTATTACCTGATGTTTTGTCATAAAAAAGGCTATGGTTGTAGCTTCCAAACAAATATTATATACAAATCAAAAACATTATTAGAAACAAAAAATATATCAGAAATTATTAACAAAACCCCAAAGTTCTAATCCATGAGGAAGTATTTCATAGCTTTGTCTTGATGACGCTTCATTACTGTAGCATATTTAAAAACATAATTAATTTTCACACGGAACTGTGGTAATTTAGATTCCAAAACCTTTAAAGTTTAGAGCCTCCTCTTTCTGATAATCACTGGATTTTGGCTGTATCCTTTTTTCAAGGATAAGAACCATATAGTTCTCAAGACTTCCCTGAACAATACTATATGCGAGTTTTGTTTTGTTTGTTTGAAGTTAAGCACAAAGCAACACAATGGGCTATCTGTGTTCTGCCCACCACGAGTATCGAAACTCTGTTTTTAGCATTGTAAGTCCGCAGATATACCGCTGTGCCACTGGGGGGCATATGGGAGTTCATCCAGTATATTAACAAACTGAAGGAATAGAATTATAATCATCAAGTTATCCAAAAATGTCTATTCAGAGAAATAAATATAAACTTAAAAACTGGCAATTTTTTTAAACCTAGATGTGCAATATTTATACTTCAGACATCTATGGATAAGACAGAAATGAAATTTTAAATATTTAAAATTTTTATTGATGAAATTAACTAGTTAAACATCATATGATGCTAAAATAACAATTCTATAACATTTTCAGTAAAACATTTTTGCCGAATTATAAATATATATATTTCTAAGTAAGATTTTAAAAATTGGAGCAGTCTTATTTTAATAACAAAATGCTACATCCCTTAATTCTCTCTTCTTTAAAGTACTCCATCCCCTGTCCTCAGATATGTTTCCACATAGCTGAGATTTACCTCATTGAAGTCTCCAACTCGTGGAATGTGATTTTTTCTTGTCTTTCCAAGAACTTGACCTGTGTTAGAAATTACAACAGCTGTATTCCAAAGAACATCACCCTTCATTTCATCTCGTTCCAGGATTGGAGAAATAATTACCATGTTGTATTTTTTGGCCAGCTAAACCAAACAACAACAAACATAATTATAGATAATTTTAGAACATTATAACAATACATATAATGATTTGATTATCTTTAAAATGAAAGATATAATCCTTTTCAAACACTTTTAATTGTAAGTGGTATCGATATTTTTATACACCTCCGGATAAATCACCCAGAAAAGTATAATTATTACGCTTATAAAATATGGGTGCTTAAAAGTTCAAATTTAATAATTTGAAGGCTAACTTGTATTTCTAAAATGTATTATGTTCTAGAGTAAACAGCTTATCTGACTAATGTAAAATGATTTTGAATTTTATAAAGCAAACAATTAATAATATTGGATAATAACATTTATTTACCAGTGCAATAAATTTGAAAAGCTTCACAATAGGCTATCTTTGCTGTGCCCACTGTAGGGACTGAGCCATAAATTTCAGTGTTAGCCTTCAAGCTTATTATTGAACCACCAGGAGGTCTGATGAATTTGATACCTTATTATGATATTAACATTGAAAAACAAAATAATAAATTGACCCTTAGCATCAACGTGAATGTATGTAGCTTTTTAATATATGTGACAAATAAATTAAAAATCAAAATTTTAAAAAGGCCAGCGTTGGGGTAAATTTACTATATACTAAAAATTAACATAAAATAACAAATAGAGGTATTGAAGATCCGGATATAATACAACAATGTTATCCATGAATCCTAAAAATTAAGATGAAATAATAAAAGGAGGTATTAACGGTGCAGATACACAACCCAACAATGTTATACCACCATCTTATAATACTGAACAACAATTATAAAAAAAAACTACACTGATACTTCAGTAGACATAAGATGGTACCATTAATGTGGCAGTGGAGAATAATGCCACACATTACAGGGGACTACATCCTATGATCCTTTATAGTGCCATATGCAGAAATCAGAAATGTAATTGTGGCAGAAGTTGCTCACAAACATCTTTTCTTCCAGCAATATATCATCAAGTTTAGCTTTTATCACTTTGTTGCAATCTCTACATGATTCTATGCTGAACTGTAAACTATATAGTTATACAAGTGAAAATAACAGAAAAAGAGCTTTGATTGTATTTGGGTCAACAGCTTGTGACTTCTTAAATTTGAAATACAGACAATTACACCACATTTTGACAAATTAGTTTGACAAACAGTGATTGGCTAGAAAGCAATAAAACTACCCTTGTATTCAATTTACAAGGTCAGCTTAATGGTATTTTGTTTAAAACTATTACAACTTTTCTCCAAAGAGGGCTACAAATCACAAATTATGCTACAAAAAAGATATTAAATTCACAAACACTAATGACTTTGTTCAGAGCCTGCTAAAATTAACCTAAAATTTGAGATTTTGTATTATTCTATATATAAAATTAAAAAAATAAAATATTTTTACAGCACAAACTTCAACTATGAAGTTTTGTTCTTTTAACTGTGTGAGAAAAATGACTACAAGTGTATTTTACATATATATTTTTTAATTCAGTGGAACAATTTTGTCCTCAAGATGGAATGTGCCCATCCAGACATGATATTTAAGTATACACTTATTTTACTAGTAGATACCAGATCCACTAAGTTGTACAGACAAAGAATTATTCATGAAATAATTATCTTTTTGTGTAGCTAATTTTGGTTTCAACACATAATTGATAGGTTTAAAACTGTTTTGGTCATTAGCTCAAACTCGGTCACTGGTGCCATAAATGACCTAGGTTAGCTCCAGTTATTATAATTTGATTTCTGACAAGTTTTTACCTCCTGACAAAAACATGTGGTTGGTCCATTTTCGGCTGATTCAGCAAACTCACACCAGGGCATCTTCTCTCGTGTGCAAAAGGCAAAAGGCATTGCTGAAAAAAATGAATTTTAAAAAACAACAGTAAGCATATTAAAATATATGTCAACAATTTCATAGATTTTCAATACCATTTTTGGATATTAATCGTGTTTCCATAAGAATCAAATGCTATAACGTATATTTTAATCATGATGACAAATAAGTAATATAAAATACATACCAAGAACATATCAAATTTGTTGATATATATTAGAGACAGCAGATATGGGTATTAAAAACTTTTATTTAAAACACAAAACAAATAATGACATTTCAACCTCCTTAGGTTGTTGTTTTTGAAGTTAAGCACAAAGCTACACAATGGTATTGAATCCTGTATTTTAGCGTTGCAAGTCCTCAGACAACTGCTGTGCTACTGGGGGCCACCTCCTTAGGAGTATGAAAAATTATATATATAGACACACACACAAATAATAAAAAAAAATTGCAAAAATTAAGTATGATGTAGAAATGGCAATACCAAAAAGTACAGAAACAAGGCAGGGATAAGGTAAAGTTCATTTAACACATGTAAAAACTTTAACACATGTAAAGAGAATACCTACTCCATGCTTCTTGAAAACAAATGACATTGACACCACATATGGAAGCTGCATCAACCATCTGCTCAATACGACAGTGCAAGGCATTCCTTTGTGAAACAATAGGAGCAGATGTAGGCAAAACAATTTGGTTTTGAATAACTCCAACACGGACTATGCGAGGTGGTCTCATTTCTTCAGGAGTAGCTGGCATTCCATAGCCCCGTATTTCAAAATCATTGTCTAATGCAAGTTTCAAAGCTGATTTGGGAAGATCTAGATTTCTACAAAGACAGTCAGATAAAACAATGCTTTTAATATCAGTGCAGAAATGAAAATTTTACATTCTGATGCAAGGCTAATGAAACAGGAGGAGGCAATCTCACTGATATGAAGTCATGATAAAGAAGTTTAAATACTGAAAGAAAAACATAAACACAAAATGAATTAGGAATTCAAAAAATAGTCAGCAGTAGAGTACATAGAAGCCAAAGAAAAAGAGTACTTCACTAAATATTAAGTGAAAATATAACATAAGGTTGTGCAAGTAGTGGGTAGAAGCCAGAAAAAAGTAGTACTACATGGCTGGTGGTGATTGGTCTACTGAGGGATTTTTATCAACAGAAGTGAGAGAAACGCGATGGAATATTTCAATTTATTATAAGAATGAGATTTTTTATCACATCACAAAATTGAAAAGGTATATAATAATGAAGGGAGGATTTGATTATTTGACTTTGCATAAAGCTATATGTGGGATATCTGCACTAGCCCTCCATAATTTTGAGCTGATAGACTAGAGCAGTGATTCCCAGACTTTTGGTAATCATGGGACCAGAAAAATTCCAAAAACATTTTCTGGGGACTGACATTCCAAGTAAAATATCTGTTAATTACATAAGTAAACTAATATGATATTTAAAAAAAACAATTTATTTTAAAAACAAAAAAGAAAGGGTAGACTTAGGCAACTTTTGGTTATCAAATATTGAAAGAAACGTAAGTGTCAGCGCTTTCAACAGCCAAGACACACTGTGGACCGGTAGAACTTAAGTCAAGAAAAACACTGGACTAGAGGGATGTCAACTAGTTAACACCACCAACTCTTGTCAGACTTAATAATGGAATTTGACCAGTACTTTTATAATGCACCCGCAACAGCAAAGTGTAAATTAGCATTTTTGTTTGTTAATGGAACGAGAACCTCAGCTCCACAGTCTGGTAAGCTAAATGCTGAACTGCACTTGGCCTGAAGGGAGGAGGAAATGGAGAGAAGAGCAAAAGAAAAAAAAAAAGTCATATTTTTGGCATAATCAAGGAAGAACAAACTTAGAAAAGTTGAGGTAACACACTGTATTTCAACACTGATTTAAAAGAAACACTAACTTAAGGAAAATACTATGTTATTTATTATGAAACTATATAACAAAGATAAAATTGAAAATAAGAAAATTAAGATAGTTCTAAATATTCAAAGGTTTGTCAGATGTTATTTTTCCTCTAGTTAACAGAAACCATTCAACAATTTTTGAAAAGGAATCTCAGATTAAATGTTACTTACATGGAAAATTCAATCTTTTGATTTATATAATGTCCATTAATCAATCAAAAGTTATTGTACTGGGAAAAAAAAACACTAAAGCATTATAAGTAGAAGCTCCTTCTGTGCATTAAAGTAGAACATTATGGTGAAGCACAAGAAGGAAGGAAGGTTGAGTGGCTGAATACTGTAAATAAAATGTACTAAATGCCTAGTACACAGGTTCCAAAACTTGGAGTAACAGGAAAGAGTCAGAGGTTGTAGCAAGTACACAATAATGTTATGGTACTCAGTATCTGTAGATATATTTAGTGGGGGCCCCAAGTCAGGATGCAGAATATTCTGGTAAGCTTGGGAACCCGTGTGTACAAGACCTATCAGGTCATCAAGAAATTAATGTCACTTTTTTTAGATAATAAACCTAGACAGCTTATAAGTCAAAACAAAACACTTATTAAATGAAATAGTTTCCATTCTTATCGATGATGCTTTTCCATCTTACAATCAGGTTGTTAATGCCCTGATTAAAGATACCACTTGACTTTGAAGCAAAAAACATGTCGATGGCCTCTTTAACACCTTCCTCATTTGTATACGTTTTCCAATTACGATGGTGTTGTAGCCAATGAAAAAGATGATAATCTGATGGTGCCATATCTGGAGAATATGGTGGGTGGGGAGAACCTCCCAACCCATTTCCATAATCTTGTGTTGCACCAAACATGCCACATATGGATGTGCATTGTCGTGGAGAAGAACACATTTCCAATTGACAACTGAAGGGTGTTTCTGATGAAGGGCTTGATTTAAACTCTGCATTGACAGTTTGCTGTGCATTGAGGAGTTCAAAATGAATTACTCCTTTGATATCCCACCAAATGCAAAGCATCACTTTCTGCAGAGTCCAGGTTATGGGGTCAGAAGTGGTTTTTGTCTAGGACTGAGCCATTGTTTTTGGCATTTAATATTCGCATAGAGAATCCATTTTTCATTACCAGTGACAATTCTGTCTAAAAATGGTTCACGCGCATTATGTGCCAGAAGAGACAAAGCAATGTTCACACGTTGGAAACGATGATCATCAGAGAGTTCGTGAGGCACCCAAACACCTCCTTTAAGGAGTTTTTCCATATTCCATAGATGTTTACATACTATTTCATGAGAAACATGCAATTTCAGGGCCATTTCACGAGTGTGTTGCCTTGGGTTAGACTCAACA